CAAGAGCAGTTCTCTCAGAGCTCCCTCAACCCCACCTACCTCACAGGGTGTCTGTTATGGGGAGAGGAAGGGAAGGAGATTGTAGGCCGCTCTGACATGAATGGCCCAGGCTAGCCCAATCTCATCAGATTTCAGAAGCTAAGCAGGGTTGGTCCTGGTTGGATGGGAGACCACCAAGATGTCCAGGGTCCTTACGCAGAGGCAGGCAGTGGCAAACCACCTCTGAACATCTCTTGCCTTGAAAACCCTGTGGGGGACTCCATAAGTGGGCTGCAACTGGATGGCATTTTCCACCACCAATTCATAGGGTTGGCATAAGTTGGAAGCCACTTGGTGTCTGAAAAGTATGCAGGCGGAGAGTGATTTCAACTAAGCATACCTTTATTTAGTTAAGAACAAAGACAACTGACCGGCTCGCAGGCCGGTGTATATTCATTCAGAAAACCCGCCACCAAGCTCACCTAAACACACCCCCTAGACCACCAAGCTGTCCAGGGTCCTTACACAGAGGCAGGCAGTGGCAAACCACCTCTGAACATCTCTTGCCTTGAAAACCCTGTGGGGGTCTCCATAAGTGGGCTGCAACTGGATGGCACTTTCCACCACCAATTCATAGGGTTGGCATAAGTTGGAAGCCACTTGATGTCCCATAAATGCACACGCACAGAGCCTTGCAAGGAGGTCCTGAGAACACCCAAAGCACAGAGGGAAAAACCCTAAACACTGGAAAAAATGTTTGGAACACAGAATCGCAGTTCATCATCATCACTTTATTACAGTTCATAACCAGCACAAAACAGTCCCGATAGATCAAAAACCGGATATCAATATAACGACAATAATATGAATTTTAGATACTAATGTAGAGACAGAACAAAACTGAAGCATTTACAAATAATTAGAATGAAATATCATGCAATCTATATCAGACCTTTACATACTGTTTATGAATTCTGTAGGCTGCAGCTAAAAATTTTGCACACGGCAACATGATCTCTGGGTTAGAATCTGATAGAAGCCTATTGCTTAGTGCAGTATTTGAGAAACCTGAAAATCTTTCCTGTATAGGCCGAATAAATCCAGCTCGTATTTGATTGTAATACCCACAACCAAAGCTCCCTCTAAGCTGTGGAGTCTTGTGAGCAAAAATGCTACTTCGTGAGCGACTGGCATTAAAGTTGTGAGCGAGCGATTTGGCTACTGCATACATTGGTTTGCTCTGGAGACATCCCTTCCTGAGCGAAGGCAAAAGTCTGTGTGCTGGAGGCTAAGAAACTGTGAGCTAGCTCGCACTAACTCAGCTTAGAGGAAACACTGCCCACAACTAAGCAGAATATGTGTGATCGTATCCACTTCTCCAATACCGCAGTTGGACGTGGCCATATAGGCCATTTAGTCCAACCCCCTGTTCAAAGCAGAATCAGCGGAAAGCGTCCCTGACAAGTGTTCGTCCAGCCGCTGCTTGAAGACTGACATGCCACTATAGCTTTCGTATTTAGTGCTTCAGTATTTCATGTGCATATTATGTTTCATTCAGATTGATAGTTTGAGCCACACCGGCTTGACAAATGAGCACTTGTCACAGTAGTCGGTTCTTCCATTAGGAAAATACACGCCACATTCTGTCGTGCTTTGACAAAAGCTAAAAATCTGCTTTACTGCTGATCTGAAGCATCAATATGGTGAGCGGTGTACTTTCAGTGCCCTTTACGGCTGGTTAAGTGACTGTTCCTTCTCTTGCATTCTGCTGGTCATGCGAGAAACTCTTGTTTCTGCTGACTCATGGGGAAAAAAACCAGGGAACACATCAGGAAGTTTAGATGAGAAAAGGACCTTCTGAAGAGTTTAAAACTGGAGGGCTGAACTAGACGTGCAGCAGAAGATCTCTCTGCCTGCCTTTGTTTTGTTTTATATCAGAAAGGAGATCAAAGCTAGATCTTGTTTTATATCCAGGCGATTGTAGGGAAGGGCCTTGGAGATGGGTTGGGAAAGTGGGGTGAGGTGTTTAATTCTCCTGCCTTGGCACCAGTGTTCCCTCTAAGCTGAGTTAGTGTGAGCTAGCTCACAGTTTTTTAGCCTCTGGCTCACACATTTTTGTCTTAGCTCAGGAAGGATGCCTCCAGAGCAGACTAATTTATGCAGGAGCCAAATCTCTCACTCACAACTTTAATGCCAGTAGCTGACAAAGTAGAATTTTTGCTCACAAGACACCACAGCTTAGAGGGAGTATTGCGTTGGCACCCTTTCCCTGATTAAATGTTCAGTCTTCCACAGAGTTGCCTGTTGAGTTCTTTCCATGACCCTAGTTAGTATTAGTTGACAACCCTAGCTGAAACTGGGTAGCTTCTCTTGTCCTGACTGCATGGCCCAGGCTAGCCCAACCTTGTTACATCTCAGAAGCTAAGCAGGGTCGGCCCTGGTGAGTATTTGGATGGGAGACCATCAGGGAAGTCCGGGTCCCTATACTGAGCCAAGGAGTGGCAGACTACCTCAGAACGTCTCTTACCTTGAAAACCTCACTAGGGGTCATCATAAATCAGTTGTGACTTGACAGTACTTCTCACCACCAGATTCTCTCCCCTAACCCCAATTATGTCCCTTCCAGATTGGAAATCCAGCTCATCCTCGATTCTGTTGTAAGCAAGGACTCAGTAATGAGTCGGCTAAAAGGCAGGTTCTACTTTCTTTGGTAAGAGGTGGAGCTGTCTTTGCCCTTTACCAGAGCCAAGCCTACCCCAAACCCAAAGTGGACCCCATTGACCTGTGCTGGCCAGTGATAGAACATATAACCTTCCACAGAGAAGACCCATGTTCAATTCCTGGCATTTTCCGGTTAAAAGGATCGCAGGTAGCAGGTCCACAGAATGCCACTCACTGGCTTTATATATAAATGGTTTTGTATGAGCACTAGTGATGTGGAATGGTATATTATAGTGTGATCTGGTCAGATCCCAGAAGCTAAGCAGGGTCAGCTCTTGGAAGGGAGACCACCAAGGAAGATTCTGCAGAGAAAGGCAGTGGCAGACCACCTCTGCTTCTCACTTGGCTTGAAAGCCCCTTGCTGGGGCCGCCATGTTGAGATTTGATGGCACCTGCATACATACATATGACTATTGGAAGAGACAGTAGGTCTAATCCAACAAAGTACATAGTATGATGATCCATCAGGTCACAATTACACTAGAAAGGCAAGATGGTCATATCTACATGGTAGCCTCCTCTATACAGCCAGAAGTATGGAGACAGCTCCTATGGAAGGCCCGTTGTTTCTCACCATATTCTTCCAATCAAAATGGAAAGCCATCTTCCCAATCCACTGTGTTCCAGCTTTTATCCCTGCGAACCCTGTAGTAGGTAGAGCATGGGATGCTTCCGCTGACTGAAGCACAGCCCAAGTTATCAATGGCTGTGTTCACACACACTAAATAACCCACTTTCAATGCACCTTCAGTGCACTTTCAATGCACTTCCCAACAGGATTTTACCGTGTGAACTGGCAAAATCCAGTTGGAAAGTGCATTGAAAGTGGATCGGAAGTGGATTATTTAGTGTGTGTGACTGCAGCCCAGACCTTGTCACCTAGTACAGTCTTCCCCATCCTGTGAGTCAGGTCCCAACAGTGGGTTGTGGGCCAGCCCACCCCAATGGCCCCCCATGCCCATCCCATTGCTCTCTTTTGCATTTTGGAAACCAAGATGTGACCCTGGAAACGGTATCTTCCATGCCATACATTGGCCCCGGTCACACGGGCTGGAAAATGCGGGGGGAAAGCATGGCTGTTTGCCCCGGGGCAAACTAACGCGCGACTGCGAGATCAGACGCCCGGTTGAGGTCCCGTCGAGGTCCTGTGGCTAGGGGGGAGGTGCCGATCACACCACAGGCAAAGAAGCGGGACGGCGCGGCAAACGGGTTTTTTTTTTTTTTACTTTTTAAAACTGAAGTGTGCGCATGCTCCGTTGGGTGCTTGTGCACATCCGTGGAGCCTTGGGGGGGGAAATGACCTGTTTGCGAGGGGACATGGGCGGGCGCCGGATGCCACCGGAAACGTGATCAGATGCCCGCCCTTGCCCCGCGGTTTCCGGAAACTAGTACCTCCGAGGTACTAGTTTTTTGCCGCGCATCTTCGGAGGGAAGCCTCGGTTGAGCCACAGGAGCTCTACGCTTCCCAGGTGTGGCGGTGAGATCGCGCCCGGAAAATCCGCCTATCCTCCGTCTCTCTAGCGTGGCTACTGTTCCGTGTGACCGCAGCTATTAGTTAGTATTTCCCTCTCACTGCATATCAAACAGAACGTGTCATTATGGTTACTAAAGTTAGTATCTTAAACTCTGAGGAGGGATTAGAGGGAGTATTGGAGCAGGAGAGGGTGGTGGAAGGCTGGGATGTAACCTCCATATGCAAAGGCTGGTATGCTGGAATGCCGCTTTGCTTGGGGTTCGTAGTGGAGGCCAGGCTCTCACAGAGGTCAAGAGAGGCCCCGGGCCACTTCCATTTTTCAGGGGGGGGCCCCCGGTAAATTAAAAAATGAAGAAGTGCTAAAACAATGATACAAAATCAGTAGTGTTATATTTTAACTGTTTACATTTGATACAATAAGAAAAAGAATATTGTAAGACTTTGTAACAAATGTTTCCGTTTCTATTTAACATGTGATTTGATGTCAAAGGTGTAACTTTCAGCCCGCCCCCCCCCCAAGAATGTGAGGCCCGGGCCAAATGGCCCTGCTGCCCCCCCCCAGAAGTCCTGGTGGGGGGCAGCTGCACCCTTTGTGCACTGGTTGTTGTTTTCTCAAAAACATCTGGTTAGACACTGTAGAAAATGGAGTGCTGACCTCGATGAGTGCCCCAGTCATAGTTTGTCTAGGGCACCAATAAAACCTTGGATGGGTCACTATACCAAGTCAATTTGGACTTGTGGGTCACCATACTGAAATGTTGGGAACTACTGACATAGTACAATGAAAAAAAACTATTTTGGTAACTTCCCTCATTTGTTGCTTTAGGCCAAATTTACCAACGACTGCAAGTTCAGGGAGAGGTTCCAAGAAAACAGCTATAACACCTATGCCTCAGCGGTTCACCGGACTGACAAAACGGGAAGAGAATGGTACGTGGCTTTGAACAAAAGAGGCAAAGCAAAACGTGGATGTAGCCCCCGAGTAAAGCCCCAACACCTTTCTACACATTTCCTCCCAAGGTTTAGACAAGTTGAACCACCGGAACTTTCTTTTACCGTCACCGTCCCCGAAAAGAAAAAGCCACCAGTTGTTCCAGCGAAGCCAAAGGTCCCGATGCCGGTGCCTCGGAAGAACTCTCCTCCGGTCAAGTACAGACTCAAGTTTCGCTTTGGATAGTAATGGCTTGGACTCCAGAGAAGGAATGTCTTTCCCCCCCTCAGGAGCTCATGCTTGTCTGCGATTCCACAGAGTCGGGGAGATCTCTGAGGCAAATTCCGTGAGGAGATCCTTGGGAAAGGTTGGCTTTTGTTTGGGGGCACAAGCTGTGTTGAATTGGTTTTGGGGTGGGTAGTTAAAAGATGAAGCAGAATTCTTCCACTGCTCTGTGAGGAAGAACGCCAAAGGAGCTGAAGCAAACAGAGAGACATGTGGGGCTTTGCCTTAATTTTCAGTCTCATCATTTCTGCTTTCCAGTCGCTGAACATGGATTGTCCTCTGCTGACTTAAAATGGTGAACGGCTGTTCCAAAACAGTGACACGTCCGAAACGACTGTTACAAGAGGGGAAAGGGTTCATCCTATGCCGAGTCTGGGGGGTTTTTTAACAAAAAAAGTTCTGTTACTCGTTTTAATTGATTTCTTACTGTGATCTTTTTTTCTGTGATGGGGAAGGGCTCATGTCATTTTCCATGGACTTCCCCCCTACTCTCTTTCCACATTGCTTTATCCTGCACTTTGAAAAAAGAATGTTAAACATACCTCAGACGAGTAGATGGGGGAAGGAGGACTCACCTAAACAGTTCAGTGGGTGATTTTTTTATTTTATTTTGAAGAAGTGCACAAACTTTGAAGGAAAGCAGTCATGCAATACATTTGTCATTCTGAAGAGGTTCTGTGCAAAACTACAAGGCCAAAGTTTATGATTTAACGTTTGCAGTCTGATTCCTATGGCTCTGACGGATCTCAATGTTCTCCAATGTTTAGCTGGAGTTTGGCATATGCCGGAAGTACCCTCAGCCCTTCAACCAGGGCAGGAAATCATAATTTTCACAGAAACTTAAAATGATTTGGCAAAGGGGGGGAGGGGGCTTCCTCAGGTCTGAAGAATTTCAAGTTAAGCAAATATGAAGGAGGGGATTTATACATATCCCAAGGTTATTACCAGATTTTGCCTGGCGCAATATTTGAAGGTTCCTCCTTTGAGAAATTTGGAGGGAAACCATAATAATAATTATTTTTTTGCTGAGACCAGCAATATTTCACGATGGTGGAGATTTACATATACCCTACATATGCTTTTGGAGAGGGTTTGTTCACCGTTACTGTCTAGGAAGAAATCTCAGTCCGAGGTGAGTCTTGAACAAACCACCGTTCCTCTCCCCCTGTGTGAGGAGAAAGTAATTTATTGGACCGCAGTGTTTCCCCAGTCACCCAACTGGGAAAAAGAGCAGCGATCATAGGGACAGACTGGATGGTTAGGGAGGCACTGTGCTTCCAATCAGTCTGGTGTATCCTGGTGATGGCGGACAGCAGGGGTCGTTTCGTAGAAAAAGAGCTAGGGGAACTCATTAGCATAACTCATTAGCATATGCCACACCCCCTGACATCACCGGAAGTGTGTCATAAGGCCACACACCCCGCCCCCAACGATCCCGGCCGCCGCCGCCGGCCTTGCAGCTCCACTGCCGAGCCCCATGAGGGGCCCGGCGGTGGACCTGCAAGGCCGGCTGGAGTGCAAGGAAGCCCCGTGAAGGCCCTCCCTGGCCCCAGGCAGGCAGGGGTGGGGAGAGGCAGGGAGGAAGCAACTTACCCTCCCTCTTCTCCTGCCTCCTCCTGGCTGAATGAGGGCCGGAAGCGGGGCGGCCGGAAGCAGGGGGCGGGGCTTTGTCATGTGCCCCGCCCCCCGTACCTCACCCGGGGGAACTGCAATCCCCCGCGATCCCCCCCGAAATGACCTCTGGCGGACAGTGCCGTCAAATCACAGCTGAGGTACGGTGACCTGTTCAGAGGTGCTTTGCCATTGCCTGCCTCTGCGTAGCAACCCTGGACTTCCTTGGCGGTCTCCCATCCAAGTCCAAACCAGGGCTGACCCTGCTTAGTTTCTGAGATCTGATGAGATCGGGCTAGCCTGGGCTATCCAGGTCAGGGCTGTGGTGTATTTCAGCTTGCTCGTTATTTTCTTTTCACCAGGAGGGGGAGCGGTGCACAAGACTCTCCTCACCCCGTTCAGATATTTTCCCCAGAAAGTCACCAGAGAACAAGCCCAGGGATTCCCTCAGTGTGTATGCCAAATGGTATCTGGTGAAGACTGCCATCGAGTCACAGCCAAATGATGAAAACCTCATAGGGTTTTCAAGGCAAGAGATGTCCAGAGGTGATCGGTCATTGCCTGTCCTTGAGTTGTGACCCTGGGCTTGCTGGTCTCCCATCCAAATACTAACCAGGGCCGACACTGCTTAGCTTCCGAGATCTGGGCCATCCAGGTCAGGGTGTACGTCGAATGTTTCCCGGCAAATAAGAGAATAGGGTAACCATTGCACTCCTTTACACATCCAAGCCCTGCAAAGCTGTGGACAATCTTCATAATGTGCGAGAGAGAGAGAGAGAGAGAGAGAGAGAGAGATGTGCGAGAGAGAGAGAGAGAGAGAGAGAGAGAGAGAGAGAGAGAGAGAGAGAGAGAGAGAGAGTCATGCGATCCCATCCATACCTCCGTTTCTTTTAAACGTAACTCATGTTTCCTCTTTTCTTAAAAAAGCTGAGCTATCGTGTGCCATAATTCCTTCCCTTCCCCTCTCTTTTTGTGCCTGCTGAGCTATCTTGGGGCCTGTTTTTCTTTTTCCCTCCGCCGGCAGGCAAAGAAAGGAGTCATGACAGGGGACGGGATCATTTCCTTTCCGAATGACGGCGATTCCATTCTCTCTCCCGCTGTTCCTTGGACAGCTGGAAGAGCTGGGTCTTGTTCTGTCCATCAACCCCATCGTTTCAACGTCTGTGTTTAAAATACCTCTGTCCTGACCCTGTGGAATTCCGGCTATTATAGGTCCCGGTGGGCATGAGCTGCTTTCTGAGAGAGGCGGGCAAGTCCCACTCCGTCGGGTGGATCGGATGACGGCCTTTCCCTGTCAGAGCCAATTAGCAAGTTCTTCCCTCAACCTATAAAACCCCTCCCTCGAGACCTCTTGTCCAAAAATGAAGGGTCCCTCATCATTCTTCCTTGTCGTTTTTCACCGCTCTGTAAAGGCTGGTTATGTGCCGCATGGTGGCAGACCTTCTCTTGGGACCTGCGGCCTGCTGTTGACGTCCAGACAAAGAGCTGAGAGGCCTGTGTGGGATGTCTGTGGGGGGACCCTAGGTTGGTTTCTATCAAGGGACAAGTAGGCCCTTAAAAAGGGGTTTTCCCTAATGAGACAATCAAAATCGGCCAAGGTTTCTGGTCTTGCAGAAGGAGGTCCATACCAAGGCAGTGTGCACAGGCTTGCCAATCTCCAAGTGGTGGTACAAAAACCACAACACTGAGGCTGTAGCACTGTGTAAAGAAATACATATGGATCTGAAAAGTCCTCAAGATAGTCTTATCGAAAATCTGTAGTAACCAACAAACAAACAAATACCTTTTATTGCCATAAAATATTAAACAGTTGCCATTTGGGTAAAAAAATCCTATAAAATTTGTGGAAAATAAATAACTTCTAAAAGCATTACAAAGGTATGTCTATTTATATAAGCTAAATTATAGCAAGATAAAATTTTGCCCAACCGCAAAACCTTGAATTAAATTATACAAACTCATTGAACTCAATTAGAATGATCAGGGACATTTTTCCGTTTTATAAGACCATAAAAGAACTTGGCAGTCAATTCAATAATCTCCGAATCTTGAGAAGTAAGGAGGTAGTGTAGCTTGCTTCCGTCTGGTTGGCATGCTACCTTGCTAAGGGGGACTTCCAGAAATTTCACTCGAATGTCGTTTAGCAAATTACAACGTAAAAGTACATGCTCAACTGCTTCTATTTCTCTCTTATTGCATCAGCAATATCTAATTGCATAAGGGATTTTCTTATATCTCCCTTCAAGAATGGCAGAGGGGAGAACATTGAACCGTGCTAGCATGTAAGCTCTGCACAATTGTGGTGATATCAGGGAGAAAAAAATATTGTGGTGGAGCACCAGAGAGTGGATAGGCCCATCTAACTGAGGAGCACCTACCGGAAGCAAGAGCTCTGAGCTCTTGCAGTTCTATATCAATAAGTCTCTGCTTAAGCAGAATAAAAACCTCCGGCTCTGTTAAAGTGACAAAATCGTTCAGATTAAAACCAATAGAATTCATTTTCTTTTCAATAGCCGAGAGTCAGGCAGAAAATCTGTAGTATAAACAGCTAACATCTCAGCTAACATCTAATAGGTAAAGGTCTGTTGTGGGGAGGGGAAGGGAAAGGAGTTTGCAAGCCGCTCTGAGACACCTTTGGGTAGTGAAGGGCGGGGTATGTATCCAATCTCCTCCTCCTCCTCTTCTTCTTCTTTTTGTATTAGCTTTCACTGTGTTGCCATTATATTTATACAACCTCCAGATGGTGGCTGGAGATGTCCTGGGATTACAACTGATCTCCAGGCAAGAGACATTAGTGCACCTGGAGCAAATGGCTGCTTTGGAAGGTGGATTCTATAGCATTAGACCCCACCGAAGCCCCTCCCCTCTCCAAACCCTGCCCTCCCCAGGCTCCACCCTTGAAATCTCCAGGTATTTCAAACAGAGGCTGGAGGGCCATCTGACAGCCATGCTGATTCTGTGAACTTAGGCAGATCACGAGAAGGGAGGGCAGGAAGGGTTACATCAGTGCTTAGTTCTCGTGGCCCTTTCTTACCCGCCCAGGGAAATGCTGATCACCACTTTGGGGTCAGGAAGCAATTGTTCTCCAGGCCAGTTTGGCCAGGGATCCTGGAGGGGGCGGGGTTGCCCTCTTCTGGGCATAGAGTGGGGGTCACCGGGGGTGGGTGGGGGGTTTGTGAATTTCGTGCCTTGTGCAGGATGTTGGACTAGATGACCCTGGAGGTCCCTTCCAACACTGTGATTTTAGGATTCTATTTCCCAACTCAGAGTTGGCAACCCTAGAGTGTAGCCTGCACTTTCGGAAGACTCTGCACCAAGAAAAGCACAATTCTTCAGTGTATAGGCATGTTGCTCCACAGCAGTCTTCAGCAAAAGGATTGTCCCGTATGGTCAAGACCAAGATTTCAGGCCAGTCGCACCTTAAAAAACAACAAGATTCCCAGGGTCGAAGCTTTCGAGAGTCTAAGCTCCCGATGCTCTCGAAATCTTATACCATGGCAATCTTGTGCGTCTTTAAAGTGCTACTGGACTCAGATCTTGCTCTTCTACTTCAGGCTAGGGGTGTGC